TCACAAGTCCCTTCACAAGTCCAGTCACGAGTCCCTTCACAAGGCTTGTCACAAGTAACAGGGTGAACAATGTCAAAGGAATGCTTTTGTCACAGCTCATTTGAATAGCTTGTGAATTGGCTTTAAGACTGAATGACTTGTGATGGACTCGAATACAACACTGGATCCATGTGATCCTAACCTTCATAAATTGGTGCACTCTGTACAGCCCCCTTGCCTCCGCACTGTGAGTTGTCTCAGCCCTGAAACACTGGCTGATGGCAAATTTCTTCTGAGGCAGCTCGGCAACATCCAGCACCGTGTCCATAAAATACCCTGAGGTGGAACAGAAAAACAAACCCGATCCATACAAATAAGCACAAAATAAAAAGACCCGCATTTAAGGACGGTCAGATTCCAACTGACAAGAAAAGGCTTCATTTTTCTTCTTTCGTTTTGAAACATGAACGACATTCTTTTGTGAAAATAGACCCGTACATGTCTCGACCTCCAAACTGTGACCAATCCGCTAACAGTCACTGGCCAATCAACCGTCATGCTGTTGTTTCTGACAAACAGCTCCAAATGTCTGGAAGATGGAGTCCGTAAAATCTGGATGCACATATGCATAATGTGATGCCATCCAGAGAAGACTCTGGTTCAACGCACAGATGAATACCATCGTAAAAATATCAACACCTAGATTATGTTAACAATAAATGAGCCAGTTCAGTATTCCAACAGTGCATGCTCAGTCCGAGGCTATTCAGGAACAGCTAAGCGTGTGTGCAATAGCCTGTCCAATCAGCCCAGCCCTATGCTGACTCATACATGCACACTTTGTTCCTGAAAGATCCTGGCTTTTTGAAATACCGAACTAGCTCATCAATATCACAAGTTTGAATCAATGCAGTACTGCTTAGTGTTGGATTACGGCCGATTCATAAAACACTCGGGTCGGGTTAATATTGTTTAAGAGTGAGGTAATGTCCTAGCTACCTGCTATGCCGACCTCTGCGGTTCCTGATAGGCACAGGTCCATGTTGTGTTTCCTGTGATCCAGCTGGTACACCTGGGTATGAAGACCTTTTGTGCGCATTCCGCATCCTTCCTGTAACCAATAAAGCGGGAAAAGTTAGGGAGATTTTATACCATGGTATCTCGATGGATACGTTTGTTCCTATGAAGAAGAACTCATATTTTTTGGGAAGAGGGCAGGGGACAGATTGTGGTGGTTATACTGACAATGAAATCCAAAAACAAATCAGTACCTTTTCTGTGACCACTTGGAATAACTAGAATAACATCACCTTCAACAATTTTCATTTTAGACAATCTTTCCAATTTCAGGTAAACCTGTTGATGAGTAAAGCACTCACAAACACGATTGGATGCACGAGGTCAGGCACTGATATTGCCCTGAATCCCCTGCCTAGAAGCCTGTCCACTGTAAAGCAGATGAGGGCATGCTCCAACATGGCCGCTGCACCTTTGAAAAAATATGACCTGTGACCCGTCACGTGACCCAAATTCCTGTTTTGGAAAAGAAAAGGATGATGTACGGTTAATGAACAATTATTCAACTGTAAAAGAAAAACTGAATATTTTGTATTTTGACGGGCAGTTATTATATCATGCATTTCACACTATTAAGTCTCAATACGCTGGCATTTCTGAGCATGATCAGGCCTGTAAATGTTCTAAAAACCATCTCATCAGCTTCCAGGGAAGTACACTGCTTTGCTGGGTGACACCATGTCAGATGCTATCTCATCAATCAACTACAGTGACCATCTGTGCCCTGATAGGCAAGGAGGGTATTAGGGGATAACATGTGAATGCCTGCTGGATTCGAACCCCAAACACTATGATCAAGAGTTGAAAACACTACCCACTAGCCCACATGTCCTAATCCAAGTTCATATTGACCACACAGTGGATGAACTCATCCAAACTGCTTGGCTATGGATGGAAATACCACACACCCCAATGGAAGCTGCTGGCTGCCTCATCCAATTTGTTTGGCTATGACTTGCAAGTGTACTTGTAAAAACATTAAGAGCTTCCACATGCATTCCTAAATTTTGAAATTCAGGTGAATTAAAGCAGGTCCAAATCCCACTTCACCAGTGGTGCACTGTGGGGCAAACGTTAATAGCTTTGAACTGGATACTTTAACCTTCAAAGGTCTAAGTGAAATAAGGTTGAGAAGTTGCAAGCTGCACGGTAATCCTTTGAACAGGAACTCTTATTTTTCAAGTAAGCCGTTTCTGTTGGATGAATGATATCTCTGGTAGAAAAGTGTCTTAGGATAGCTCTCATAAGACTTATTCAAGTCAAGATAATTTCAATCCTGTTGATTTAAAACAAATACCTCAAGAGGCATTTTGTAACTAGAGGAAAGAACTTACTTGATCCTGATGATGTCCAAGTGTTCTCCCAACTCAACGTGACTCTTTATTGGGAAATTAAAACTCGGTTTCTCACCTATGAGCATGACCAATCTCGGTTCGTCGCCTCCTCCCATTGGCTGAAGTAAAAAACAAAACAAAGAATAATATTTGAATTACCACCTCTGTAAATATTTTCAGTACTACCATATAATGTTGAATAACAAACAGTATACAGAACTAATACATTCTATGTAAGCTCCCTGAAGCAGACATGTAACGAGACGGGGAATCCAGGTAGGCAACTCAGAGTTCAGGGGTGAAAAAGAGGAAATTTCAAAATCTGACTTGTAAAAAAGTAAAAAAAAAATGAGGATATCACCTTATTCGAAGAAAGCCGTGTGCCCGGGAATCTTCCCCATTTCAAAGTTTATACTTGTGATTCTGGAGCCTGGCAGTATCAAGCAGGGCTCCAAGGCTTCGATCTTTTTCAAAACAATGAAATGTGCTCCTGAAGTGACTAGATATATTCTGTGCAAAAGTGAATGGAAAAACAGACCCATCTCCTTCTCTGCATCTCTTTTCTGTCTGGTATCAAGTTCTATCCGCTCCGAGCAGGAACAAAAGAAGGTGTGTTTTGAAACGAATTTGACCTTCGTTTGGTACGCACTCACTGCATAGGCACCCAAGTTTGACATGGGGAACACTGAGTACGCGCAATGAATTTAGTCTAGAATGCATTGTCTTCTGCACGCGTGCAAGAACCCGGTTGGAAAACTTAGCACCGTCTGTCTTTCTATCACTGGTGAGGGTGCACTTCGGCTCAGGGTGGATTAAATTGCTAGGAAACTATGGTCACTGTGCGAAGTAAAAGCCTGCTGGCTACATCCATGTTTGTGCACAAACCTAGGGTAAACTCAAATGTACAGCTTTTACGTCAATGTTTGCAGTGTAAAATGATGCGTCAACAAAACCGACATGCCAAAAACCTAAAACACACAATCAGTATATGAGCATAATTTGCTCTGTGTACACAGGACAAACACGTAGGCAGTGTAATGCAGAGGAATTTTGCTGGGGTTCTTTAATATTCTGTACTTATGGCAAAAACGTTACTTGTGTTTGTGGAAGTTGCATGTGGCATTCGGAATTTGTTACACAAACAAGGGCGTGATTCAATATGTCTTTGTTCAGGAGGCATCAAAAACAGGAATGACAAGTTAGCACTCTTGTTATTTAATATTGCTCGATGGATTGGCACCAGCTCGCAGCTGATGGCCAAGGGTAACCCGTAGTTCTCATCCACCTGCACACTTCTGCTACGACCACCCCTAAATTTGCCCAAAGCCAACACTGTACGGCAAATACTGTCCTTCTCTGTATACACACAAAAAACTGGAACAACAACAGCAGCAGCATGAGATTATTCATACAAAACAAATAAGAATGGTGCAAAAGCCACCAACTGGTTTGGAAGGGTTCTTAGTCACGTCTGTGTGATTATAATTACCACTTCTGGATGCGTCCTGTTTGGAAGACGAGCAGCAGACTGATAGAAAACATCCTCTGTTTCCCGAATCTGTGTCTTCAAAAGGTCCAGGTGGTTTGCCAGAGCAGGAGAACTCCCTTCATCTTGGAGGTCATTCAATTCCTTCTCCAAATATTTCAACTTTTTCCAGAGTTCCACCTGCATCCGTAAAAAAGGACACCAATATTCCTTTGACAAATATGACTCAGGAAGTCTTCTTTTAGAATAAATTCAAAAATAGGAGTTTTTAACCAATGGAATACCTTTATATACCTACATGTAAAAACCCCAGTGTTGGTCTCCAAGCTAAATACTTGCTCTTGAAACTCATGGGAAAAATGTTTCATGCTCATCAAATTTCAACTCAAGATAAAAAGTGAACTTTCTATGAAAGATCTGCTTAAAACCCTAACCAAACTGAACCCAACAAGGTTATGCAGGATTCCAATGGTCCCTTGGGTTAGGGCCAAGTTTCTTCCCCCTGCTCCTTTTCTGTGGCTCAATGTAATTATTGGGCCCTGGTGTCTATATGGCTGTTCACAATGGGACTAGAGTGTGGTTCTAGATTGAGATACAAAGTGGCCAGGTCTTGGGTCAGGGGGGGAACAAAGTGGAATATTTTCTGAAAAAGACTCTCCCAATTTTTTCATCAGTAAAACAATCCTGATTACTTCCTCGATAAGGTAGTTACACCGTTTCTAAACTGCTGTTGCTTTTAACTAACTTAACTGGGAACTAATCTCGGAGGAGAAGGAGGGGGAGGGGACAAATCTACCCTTCCCCACCCCCCTTCCAACTGGATATGTTGGAAGGGGGGTGATATACCCACTGGAATGTCCCAAGCCTTCCAAGTTCTGTGATGCTCCTAAATGCTCACCACTTCGTGCACGTCAGCATCTCCCTTTCGACGGCGGATGTTCTCAGCAATCTTTTCTACATTGTCACAGATGTCGTCCATGTCCAGTTCAGGTCTCAAATCCTCCGTATAAACCCAGTCGCTCATCCGGAGGGCCGACGAGGAATGGAGAGACTTCTTGAAGTGACGGTCGACGCATCTAGGCTGACAGGCAGACCGCCCCGTGTCCTGAAACTTTGACAGCAGGATTGGAAGACCCTGGGATGAAAACCTCCGTGACTGCCCGACCAACCAGGTGCTGAGGGCTTGTAAGGAACACTGAGTGAGAAACCTCTTTGCCATCTTTGGTAAGGACTGTTGAAGAGAGAAACCGTACAACAGTAAAAGCACCTGCCAATTCTCAACACCAACAAAACATTTTCCGTATTGCCAATCATCATGGACGACTGGCTACTACACGACTGCAGTTCCAGTAACTTGGACTGTATTAATTGCCTTTTTTAACATTTGGACATGGACGGGCGAGATCTGCTATTGCCCGACCATGTCCAAATGTTAAAAAAGGCGATTTGTAGAGTCCAAGTTACTCGGGTAACACGACTGGCAGATCAACTTATTCTCGAGGTCAGCATGATGTCACTATGGACTTTTAACATGCGGCAAAGGGGCAAATTTGGAAAGAGTTCCATGTACTGACAACACTCATTTCCCTTAAAATGTTATAACAACCAAGGATAGAAAGTGATAATACATATACTTGTAATTCTATATTGTATGTCATAAAACGTGGAATTTAGGTGAGAAAATTTTGAAGCATTTACTAAGAAAACACTTAGGTTTATTCAGACAAGTCTCATTAGGTTTGTGCAATGGGGCATCAAATGTTGTCTTTATCAAGGAACTTGTCGCAAATTTACCCTTTGTGCTATTCCATAATGTAGGCCTACAGAAGTTCCCAGATGTCCAACTGTGAGAAAAGGTCTATGACTTTGAGTGACGTCGGACCCCAAACTCTGGGATTACAAGGTCACGAGGACAGGGCCTACACATACAGGCCAGTTGTGATTTTCGGCTCTTTCGCTTTTACAATAAAACGTTCCTTTTTACGAAATGTTTTCTAAAAAGTATTTAGTGTAAATGTGTACTTTAAACAACAAAACCACACTGCGAGTGTGTGGAAAAGAAAGTCACGAGTTCATGGAGGCCGCCATATTAAGTATGAAACCTAACCCTTTTTTATCGAAACCCACTGCACTCCTAACATTGAAAGCGCGTCAACTCTGAGGATCTGACTATTTCGCACATGCTTGTCACGGACTGGTGAACCGTATCGGACTGTTGCTAGCATTGTTTGGCTACGACTTCGATGCTGTTGCATTGAATGAGTGAGTTGTAGTCGTAAAAAGTTGCTGATTACACCTAGTATGGTAAACGGCTTCTCCACCTGATCCTCTCAGCTCTTGGCAGTGTGACTCAGCATATGGGCTCGTCACTGTGTTCGACAATCCACACTTTCCTACATTCCACCTTTAGATCGCTTAACGTTAGGCCTATGTTTCGCCTTTTCTAGCAATACAAACTAATGCTTGTCAAGTTGTCTTCATTGAAGACAGTGATTTGGCCCTCAGCCAAGTAATTAAACCTCAGCCTCAGCTCATCAGATTTTCAAGTTGTAGGCCTAACAATATAGACCTAGGCCTGCCATCCAGAGTATTCATTGCCATGGCAACCGAACAGAATCTTGACCTCTCACAGTTTCTCATCCCAAATGATGTTCCGATCGTGCCTCTGGAATGCACAAAAGCTTTCCAGGATCTTACGCCACAGGAGAAAAAGTATGCCCACTATTTGGCCAAAGCCTCATGGAGCGGGGGACTAATTTGCCTGTTTCAGACCTCACCCGAGTCACCAGTCATCTTCCTCCTACTGCTGAAGCTGTTTAAGGCGGAGCCTGTGAGTGCCTTGAAGGAGAAGGCATTGAATGCTGGTCTCAGTGAGAATGAGTTTCAGGTGATGTATCAATTCACCATTCAGTTTAGGCCTTCCATGAGTAACCCCAGCCCTAAATGTTTAGTCCACGTATCAGGAAATTTGTGATGCCATCATGCTATTTATAGGGATGGAGTTACTTATGGTGATAATATCCTGTTTAATAACATGGGAGGTTAACTTTTGTGAAAACAGGGCAGGAGTTGTGTGTGATTTTTAGGGAAATTATGATTAGTCATAAAATTGACTAAACTAAATTACACTGTGAGTAACTAATTGTCCCTTTTTCGTTAACAAGAAAAAAGCAATTAACATTGTTGAAAAGAATGCTTACATGTAGCTGGTTTGAGGCTGTGGAAAATTGGTTTGGGATACCATTAAAACATTTAAAGATTTAGAGGTGTCCAAAAGTCAAGTACATGTATCTCCACAATAGCATTGTGTTCTGAAGCATGGCTGGGGTCTAGATTGTAGGTAGTGCATGAGAAAGGGGTAACAAGGGTGGAAAATTTCATTTGTTTTATTGAAACTTATTTATTTTTTATTTTATCTTGAATTTTTTTTTAATGACATGGAACTTTTAGAGTTTGCGGTTTGAATATGTAAAAAGATAAAGGGAGGTATTTTCAAGAGTGGTCAAAAAAGAAATTAATGTGAAAATTTTGTGTGATTATCTTGAATCTGACTAGATCTGTTTTTCCGAGAAGACGCCATTACTGGGGGGCATTAGACGCATGCATGCTTTAAGTGTTGGCAGGTGTGTATTTTGACAAGTAGAGACACTCTGATGGGTTCTCTAAACCTTGGGCATTACATGTGCATACCAGTTGAACGTGGCACCATTACAACATCGGAATCTGACTGTCAAATTAGTCTGTCTGACTTGACTGGAAGCACCCCCTCATCGGTTGAAAAGAGCTGTATTGGTCAGGAGTTTTCACTTTGTTGGCAGTGATCCAACCGTGAGCATTTCCTAGTTGTTCATGAACCAGCGAAGTTCAGTTCTGACCAAAGGAGCCTCCGTTGCTTAGAAAATGGTGCCCTCTCTTGGTCCTGCTCAAGGCCCACAGGCCATTTACTTTTCATATTTCTTCCCATCCCACAGGCATTTCTGACTTACTCTGCTGCGTTCTTTCACAACTTGGGCAACTACAAGTCCTTTGGTGACACCAAGTTCATCCCAGATCTGCCAAAGGTAGTTTTAAGGGAGAAAAAATCATTCCCCCCTCTCAAGAGGGTACAAGGTTGAACACTGGGACTGATGTGTTCAATTTGCCAGAATCTATTTTTCTTAAGGAATTGGCTTTTAGAAGAAGGAGCTTTACAGACGAAAGCTGCGTGCAATGTATGTCATGAAGTTTTTAGGAGATTGCCAACATAAAACTGGTTACTGATAGTTCTGTTCATAATTGCAGGCACAGAGTTCTGGAAGACATGGCTTTTGTTCAATTATTTTCCCCTAGCCCATCATTGAATGTAAATAATAAAAACCAGGCTCTCCAATGGCGAAACCAATTTTTGACAAAGCAGAATTGTTTTATTTGTGGAGAAGTACGCGTACAGCAGTTGAAGTTGTCCTCAACACACTTGTGGACATTTTGTGTTGATGGGAGACATCAGAGTAATGTTTTTCTAGTAATTTTTGGCATTATAACGTGCACAGGAGAAGTTGCTTAGTCTAATCAAGGTCAGCGCGGCCTATTCATCGGACCCGTCCCATCTTGACAAGTTGATCTCCCTCTGTGGGGATGTGATCTTCTCTCTGGCTAAGAAGGAGCAGCAGATGGGTCTGGGAGATGATGTAAGTTGTAGGGGATTCCCCTAAGAGTTAGTACTTGTGTTGTGGTCAAGATTCCTTCTGACCATTACAAAGCCCAACGAGACCTCCAGTCTGAAGTCAAGTCACAAGCCATTCAAATGGACTCCTAGAAAAGTATTCATTGGTCACTGGTCAACCTGTTACAGGTCTTGTGCCCGGTCTTATGACCAAGCAGAAGTCCGCAGAACTGTTTGGCACCAGTTAAACCTTTAGTCCCTGTTGCTGATCGGTCAACTCAAGCAACTACAATTGGTCATTATCCCGTACAGCACAGATTTTGCTGCACACATGGTTTGTACCCAGCGCTGGTATTCCATAGCCTGTTTATTTGCAGTGGTGTTTCAAGACAATATTCCACCAGAAAAATGTTTTCAGCATTTTCTCTGCCAGTAAGTATACACCATCCCGGTACATCTAATCCTGTCTGCCAGTCGCATTACACAGGCTAAACAGCACGTTATTGGTTCCTCATTCTCCCAATTTACCCTGGATCATCTCTTACACTAATACTTTTCCAAAAGAATAGACATGCCCATACAGATTTTGATTGTACATGTGCAGACTGTTAAAAACAAGCAAAACTCCCCCCCCAAACAAAACAAAACGCAAAACCATCTCATCATCCCAGCAAGTTCACATTATTACCTTAGCTAACTGTCAGTCTAGTACAGAGCCTAGTACAATGTAGTCAGAGCTTGCCGACCCCAGTTCATGCTGTAAAATATTATGGCTGCAATAAAGATTCTTTGAGAGTTATGGCATGCATGCAACATGGTCCACACTCATCTTAAACATGTGAGATTTCTCATGCGCTACAAAAGCCTGTCAAGTGCACAGAATGTCGTAAACTGTGCTGTATCTTTTAATACTTGCACTTTTCTATGTTGATACATTGGTGAGACACTTTCTAAAAGATTTTAGATTACACCCTGTTTTCAAGCGGAATCGTAATGTTTATTTCAGCTCCAATTCTATGTAATGCTAACCTCAGCATATTCCATGTACTAATTTTATATTTTACAGGGCATATCGACTTATTTCTCTTGCAACTGTACCATGGCTGATGCAGAACTGGCCAAGAGATTCATGTTGGAAAAGGTAATTGGTTGTCGTGTTAGTGTCCATGTAGCACCCGTAGTACTTATATCTTCAGTGTTGTCATTTTTACAATAATTATTTCTTGGTGAAAGTGATGCATATTGAACAAATTGCCCCAAAAGTTTACTCAATCAGAATTTTGCCCAAGGTATGGTTAATCATGAAAGTTGGAGCTGTGGTTGGGAATACCATTGACACCCATTGCCAGGCTTGACATGGGGTAGATTACCGGGGGACACATCACAAGAACAATAGAGTATTTTGATGCTGATGGTTTTGCCAATGGGAGGAGCTAATCACCAGGGAGGCTAGCCCCCTCATCCCTGCCCCTTGGCAACAGGCCTGCAGCCATGGATATCACTGGCTGTAGCGACTGCTGCCACGTGCTGTAGATGGACGTGACCATGTGTAAGCACATGGTTTAACATTAACCCCCTGTGGCAGTTTGACTGGAAATCCTGCTCAAGGCATTGCTGGATCCAGTGGGCGGTGGTCAACAAGGCATTGCGAGATCCAATGGTCGGGGGGTCAGCAGGGGCCATAGCCTCCCTCCCCCCAAAAAGGAGGGGGGGCAAAGATTTCTGTTTTTGAAATATAATAACTTTTGGGGAGACAATGTTACTTCAGTTACGAAAGCCTTGAAGAAGCCCCCAAATTGAATCTCAACTCTCAGAAAGGCCATAAAAAGTAAAGAAACGAAGGGATGAAGTTGTGTAATTGAATTTCCTAATCACTTTCCGTCTGAATGGAAATGAGACTCAATGAATCAGTCGGCTGGTAAACAGACTCCACGTAATTGAAATTGATTAACTTTGGATATGTCAAACTTGTAGGCCTGTCTGTTTAAATGTACGTCATCATAGAGTTGAATTGGTAGAGTCCTGCAGCCGATTTCATGAGACGAGGTGTAACTTCGAACCCCGGGTAAGCCTTGCACCACAAATTTATGCCGTAGCTGCGCATTATACTTACGTTTGATTTCACGAAAAATTGCATAGATGAGCCACGTTAAATCATTACATTTCTTGGACGAGGACAAAAACATCTTTTACGACGGCTCTTCTTTTCCAATATAAAAGCAGTCAGAAACGGTCGTCGAATCACATCCACCGCTAGTTTGAAAAAGTTTTCATCTTTTCTTCGTCGGAACCGGACAAAAAGTTTTGCAGTTTTCTTACAGCCAAACAAGTTTGTCATTACCTTCTGGAATAAAGTTGTTCGTTTCTCATGTAATCCTTGATAAGTTCAGCAATGATGAGGACCCGATAAGCAAGTCAAATCATTCATTTTTGCTTCGTTTGGCGCAACTTACACCGCCTAAAATGACCGCGTATGTTACGCCACAATTTGTTGCACAAGTCGCGCGGATGTACGCAGTGCGTACGTTTTGTGAAATCGGTCTTAATTTGTTGCACAACTTACGCAATAAAATGTGCCGTAAGTAAGGTTATGCCATTGCGCAAAGTTTTGTGAAATCCTCTGCTGGTTGAGTGTAGTTGCAGGGTGTGATCACTCTTTCTTTTGTCTATCTTTGGTCTGTTTGTGATTACAGAAAATTGATGCATACAATACTCGTCTCTTCAAGTCCAACAATGGTGATGGAAAGGTTGCTTATGAAATTCGGTTGGCATCTGCTCAGACTGGTGAGTCAATTTTGACAGAAAAAAAGAAGCCCCCCCCAACAGTTCCAAAAGAAAAACTTCTGGCTTAAAAGTTTATATGCCATGAACACCTGCTTACTACTGTCAGTTTACTTTGGAACATAACTTAATAAAATGAGATTTTTTTTTTTTTTTAATTAATATCCCTTGTCAACCATTACACTATCAAGATTTAATTATCAGTAAGAGCGGAAATCTGTATTTAGTAAATAATAAATACCCAAGGAAACTTTTTCAAAGACTTTAAATGTGCCTCTTGCTTCCTTCGTTAATTCGGTCGTTTTACCGGCATTGTTCATGTTAAAATGATGATCACTTGATCATCTGTTAGTAATTGATTAACTTAGCCGTCAAGGCTACAGCAACAAAATAGTCTTATCCAACCAAATCTGTGACCCTTGTGATCATTGTATTCAGGTACATCTGACATGGAGAGTTTGAAACTTGGTACCTATGACTTTGAAGATGTCAGGGTAAGTGTCACTAGGGGTGATTACGCACCACTGATGAAGATGTCGGCAGACAATCTGCTGAAAGCTGCGGTAAGTCCCCTTGAATATGTCATGAGTGACCACAAAACAATTTTGCAGAGAATTAGTATTTCTGGTAATAAAGTCGTGGAATTCTCAAAAGTGTCCTAGGCACCACAGCTCTCCAGCCTGAACAATTCAGCAGGGGGGGTGGAGGACAATGAAGAAATGTTTAGTTTTGGGCGGGAACAGGGAAGGAAAACCTTGGATAAATATTCCATGGAAACAGTACAGAATCAGCTAGGGGTTTGCAGCAAAGAAAGATTGATACATGAAGCTTAGATGAGATTTCCCCTGTTCCACACTGACTTCCCCAGCAGTTTGTGTGATTCTGTAGTTGAATTGAATTACTAGTGGTAAGAGATGCCACTGCAAGCATCCACATTGTCCATTCCCAGAGTTTCCCTTCAGCAAGTTGTTGGAGCGTAACCACTTCATAAGAGGCATTCATGTTTGTGCTTAAGCTTGTACTTTGGGGCTTAGAAATCTTGGAACCATTATGCCTACTGATGACTGCACTACTCGGTTACTTTTGTGGAAGTTGCCCGTAGGGGCAGGAAAATGTCAAATTCACATTTTTCTTAGATCACATTGTGCCAACGATCAAAGGTTTGCCCTGTGAATTGCATTTTCTGGCATCACTGCATGCAGGAGAATGGGGCTAATGAACACGAGGTGAAGATGCTGCAGCTATACGCCAGCAGCTTCACCACCGGACTGCTGCAGGATCACATGGATGGATCGCGAAGCTGGATCAAAGACAAAGGACCCATCGTGGAACAGTAAGCTCACCAGGAGAGGAGTGCCCAGATATCTTGCCTGTCCAATCCTGTGTGCTATAGTTGACAGTTGCTAATTTGTGCTTGACTGGGGTTTAACGTGTTTTAAAGGTTTGCTTGGTGGACGTAGCAATGCGACAAAGCTTAGTAGAAGCACCATGCGAAATCAAAACACTGCCCCGGAAACTTGAGTAATTCCGCTTGGTAGCAGCAGCATGTGGAGGAGTATCCATCCGTTTTATAGATAATATTGAGGTCTTCTAGATTGCCATTTATTACAGGATGGCTGGTAGAATTGAAAAGAAAAGAAGTGTCACTCACTTGCTTTTGCGTCTTGTCGTTGCAGTTACATTGGCTTCATCGAGACCTACAGAGATCCCTTTGGCATGCGTGGTGAGTGGGAAGGTAAGACATTGATGCCATCAGAATTCCATACTTCAAATTGAGACTAGTCTAAGAAGATACTATCACAGCGGTAGCAGAGCCTGCACGGGCATCTCACTTGTGAGCCTGTTGAGGCACGTAAGCCACAGTGCCCTACACTAGTTGGAGAACCATTAAATGTGCACCTGTGACTTGCAGAATGGGATACCAGAGCCTGCACTGTTAGTATTTTAATAGAATGATTACCCTGAACTGCCTCACCACCAAATGACAAAATTCAGGTCAAGTGTAGCAATGTAATCTATGAATATAAATTCCAGAAATGGCACCATATGATGTCATCACAAAAATGTAAACCAGTTCTCAGGAGGGATTTTTGATTTGCCTCTTTACGGATTTGTGCTCGATTCCCATCTACGCAGGCTTTGTGGCCATCGTCAACAAGGAGATGAGTGCCAAGTTCGGCAAGCTGGTGGAGAACGCCGAGACGTTCCTGCCCCTCCTTCCTTGGCCCAGGGACTATGAGAAGGACGTCTTTCTCAAGCCTGACTTCACCTCGCTGGAGGTCCTAAGCTATGCCTCCAGTGGCATCCCAGCAGGCATCAACATCCCGAACTGTATGTACGAGTGATGGAGTTTTTCCTTTTTAAGTAATGACTAGCCAGTGCCATTGGATGTCTCAACACAAGGAGGCAGTCTGCATAGACAGGGACAGCTGGTAGCCACTTGGCTGAAACCGCCCAAAGCACCCTGAGTCATTGTCAGTGGACTTAGATACATGGTAGTCCACAATTTGCTTTGTACGCACACCCGTACAGACCCACATTCACCGAAACTGGTATCCTTGTGGAGCCAATACTTCCTTCTTCTGTACTAAAACATTCGGGTGTAAATGCTGCTTTACATTTGTTGGCGGGTTATTATCACAACATAAGTGTTGAACAATAGATGCTATGGGGACCAGCAATGTTACGGGGGACATACTTTTGTCGCCACAACTCATTTCTGACTTTCCTAACTAAAGAAATTGTCGCCTTAAACATGATGAAGGCCTGAGCACTCGTACTCGTTGCTGGGATTTGAGGACTACACGCGTATGGAAATAGAGATGGTAATGGGGACAAACAAATGTAGCCCGTACCTAACTGAATATCCACAGAGCCATGAATGTAGTGTAAATAATTGAAAGATATGGGGGCTGTCATTTCATTTGAACTACTGCGATATTAAAATATCAAACTTTGTAATGAATTATTTAATTAACAATTTCTTCACTTGGCATATGTAGTTAGAATGTGTTTCCAATTTCTCTTTGCAGTGCTTAGTATTTTCTAAAGATATATTTCAAATCTTTTGCTGTTTTATCCTTTAGATGATGACATTCGTCAGAACGAGGGGTTTAAGAATGTGTCTCTAGGCAATGTCCTGTCGGCGCACACCAAAGACCAGAAGATTACCTTCCTGACGGAGGCTGATAAGGTAGGTCTTAGTTATAAACACTCGCGATGTGAATGAAACTCTCTAAAGCTGATATGGTCCAAATTCTGAAGTTCTAATGAAGTCATTCGTTAATTATCTAATCATCTAGTCATTATGTTAATTCATATAACGTTAGGCTAACTTTAGGAGCGGGTTAATGAAATGTTCCTCTTGCCCACTCAGAAAGTTTGGATTGTCTCCTACTTTTATAATAGAGTCTGTGAAAATGAAAGTGTCCCTCCACATCTGGTCAGTCACTAAACATCACTTCGTCTCTCTGCTTCTGATTTGCTTGACCACGCCTACAAATGTTATTATGCCAATGGAAGTGGCAGCATCGTGGAATCACATGTGGAACCATGCTGCAGACTTTATTAAAACCACCATTAAAACCACTGTAAATACGATCAACTCGCTTTCATTTTTGAATCAGTGGAAACATCAATGACTGTGCCACTATTCCACATTATCAACATTATAGTGATTATCATGAAAGAAAATTTGCCCAGCCTCCTCTGTTATTTTTAAACGTGTTTATTTTGTTAATTATCCATAGTCGTTTTCCACTACTCAACTTTGTCTCGGTCCCAGGCTTATAACCTGTCCATGAGTGTAAGCCTACAGCATTCAGATTAAATTCAATCTTATTTGAGGTTCCTGTGGCATTGTCAATCTCACTTTCAATCGAAGAACCTCAAAGTCAGGCGTTAAAAAAACAGACAAAACCTGAAACAGAGACCAAGTTGAGTATTGGAAAACGGCTCCTATATTTCCTATCTTTCCCTTCTACAGGAGCTGTATGGTCGTCTGAAGGGACCGTCCTTTGAAGTACAGGTTGGCCTGCATGAGCTGCTGGGCCATGGAAGTGGGAAACTCTTCACACAGGATGAGAAACAGAACTTCAACTTTGACACTGAGAATGTCAAACACACAGAGACAGGAGACAAGGTTAGTTAACGAATCACAAGCAAAACAAGAGAGCGTTACACAGAGGAGGCGAACGCAGTTAAAGGAGCAGTAGGACATCACAGTAGACCGAATCATTTCTCAAAATGCTTGGATAGCGTCATTTTTAAAGGGTAGCAGCTATGCTTTCTGTTGTAGATACACTTGTTCTACAACTTTTTACTCTTCAGTGATGAAAATTAAATGTACATGTCGGTTAGATGCGTTGAAAAGTGCAATTTGGAATCATTCCAAAATTGTCCATGCTTTCCTAGGGCATTGTTGCTTTGATGTCTTGCAGAAAAGTCCCGGTTCAGTACACAGGTTTTTCTCTTCATATTGTGATCCGAGAATTCACCCATTAAAGATATTTCTGAGAAAGGGTTGCTCACGGGTTTATTGCTGTGTGCTTGAACAATAATGAATTACCAATGAAAAGAAAAATCAAGCCAGCAAAATATTTGTAAAAGCCAGGAATTGTGCACAAACCAATGATCTTTTCTTCCTGCAATGACATCACAGTTTTGATCATGAATGTGGAAATCCTCATTGGTATAAAACCACAAAGGGGGAAAAATATCCCTTTGAGTTAGTGGCAAAAATTTAAAATGAGGTTGATGGAGACTCAGAGTTGTGCTGTGAAAGGTTTGCATTATAATATTCATTGCAGTGACCCTTCAACTTCAAATAAGTTGCCCTCACTGATTTGGTTCATCTTCGTTATGGGTAATTGCAAATCAGGGGCTTATAAACGGCTGTGTTTCTTTGGACCCATTAGATCAAGAGCTGGTATCTATCTAGTGACACCTACGACAGTAAGTTTCCTGTCATTGGCTCTTCGTATGAGGAGTGTCGTGCCGAGTGCGTTGGCCTGTACCTATGCCTCTGTAGGGAAATACTCAAGTAAGTCTGAAGCATTGGAAATGGCATATAGAAATGCTTGATATTTTGTAGGTTGTGGATGAGTTTGTTCCGATCTGAATTGTGTAAGTTTAAAGTAAAAGTTTGTCATCATGGAGAGTTAATCAAGATTTTCTTTGAGGCAAAACAGGTTGATGTGCCTTGCCCTGTTGCAGGAAAGAGAAATGTGATACCGCACATTCAGAAGCCTCATAAGTAGAAACCCACATTCTTACACACACAAAACACAAAACATGATGTGCACTTGACCAAAACAACATTGAAGACTGATGAATCATTGTGGTATTGTGCTTTACAAATATCGTTTGGCAAACTCTGTAAACAGATGTTGATTTTTTTTTTCACACAAGACCACAGGCAGCAGCTTTTTATTTGTGTGAATTGCTTGTCTTACAACATTGTAGAATCTTCGGTCACGAAGGCAGTGCTGCTGATGACATCATCTACATCAACTGGCTAAACATGGTCAGGGCAGGGCTTCTAGCATTGGAGTTCTACACCCCTGAGACTCAGACCTGGAGGCAGGTAGGTCATTCCACTTTGCGAGTCCGAACAAGAGATGGCTTATGTTAATATACCAACAATGTGCCTTTTGTGGGAAAACATTGCATCCAAAATGCGCAGGTTTATTCACATTTAGCAAAGGGTGCCCTGACCACATACAACATATTCTTTGCCTGTGTGCCAAGTTGAAATTGTTCCCACCAGCCTGGCTCTACCTTACCAGTGAGGGGGTGCTCCCAGTCAGTGCAAATTAAGTCAATCAAACCATCCTTGAAAGGCTGCAGTCCCAAACATTAGGGCACTTGATTGACATCTATTATAAAAGTACCGTCTGTAATTTTTCATTTGTGGACTATGTTTGGTTGAGGCAAGAAAAGTCATCAAATTCTAAAGAAGAGTTTGATGACTTCAGATTTTTTTATGTTCTTGTTCATACCTGATTCTTTTCTATTAGGCTCACATGCAAGCTCGCTACGTCATCCTGCGCGTGCTGCTAGAGGCAGGCCAGGGGCTAGTCACCATTGAACAGGGAACCGGTGAGGACGGACGCCCAGACGTGACTGTACTTCTGAACAGGCAGAAGATAGAGACAGTCGGCAAAGAAGCTATAGGCAACTTCCTCAGGAAACTGCAGGTATTGTGGGATTAATTCTGTCTGTGTTGTATCCCATGCATTACAAGACTGGTGTCTTTACTCGACATTTGAATATCATTGTACGACTCGATGACAGCTCTGAATTATGATGCGCCTCCTTTCTACCCCTCCTGTAGGTCTTTAAATCAACCGGTGACTACGAGAGTGCCAAAATCATGTATAATGCGTACTCGGCAGTCCAGGACGACACAGCGGAGCGATTCCTGTCATTAAGACAGGTGGTCTTATCAAGGAAACTACCGCGTAGGATGTTTGTCCAGGTGAACACCACTGCAGAAAGAGGTAGGAGCTTCAGCAGCAATTTCTTGTCAAGATGCGGGGGAGGGGGGATGTCTTGGGGAGTGATGAAGATAAACTCTTGGTGGCACTGTACAGTTGGCCAGATATAACGTACCTCTCAGCTTTTTCGGGATTTGTTCTTGCCGATTTATATGTCCCTACTTGAACAGCCCACTCAGGAAGCCAGTGTGTAAAGGTGGTTTGGCTTATGTGCACTAATGTTCTTAAAGTGCCAACTGCACATGACCACTTTTCATCTTAATGAGCACAAAAAATTAGTATCCGCAGCTTGAGTGCATGGCAGCAGTGGCACTCCTGTCTTTTATGTATGCTTGACTCGTTCTTTTTTTCATCCAGGTTGGATGCTGTCACGTGCCACATTTCAGAACATACCTCTCACTTCTCCATTTTGTCACCTGTTTTTCCTTTTTTGTGATGAATCAGAGGGTGCCATTGTCCTCCATGAGTACGAGTCAACCGCAGCTGGCATCATCCAGTCTTTTGTGGAACGCTACCCAGGGGCTGAGTACGAGCAAATCGTCAAGGACCTGTGGGACAAGGACAGGCAGCATTTCTACTAGATTTCCCCTGGGGCCAGAAGGAAGAAAGAGGCAGGGTGTAACCAGGAATTGATGGCACAAATTTAAACAAGGATATTAAGGACTTGTCTAGTCTTACTTAACTGTGCACATTTTGGAGAAGTGTCCCTTGGACTTTGAAAAATGTTCACATGGCACTGACCACCGAAATCAGTGAATACACTTTTTTCCCTTTTTAGTACTCCAGTTTATGGGGGCTAAAATTCTTTCCTCATGAAAACATCTAAAAGACGTGAGATGTGAACCTATTCAGTGCTGTTACTGTTCATGAAGCGGATAACATTCGGCGCCTCATACATGTAATAATTTGCAATATGTTTTTCCCATTAGATCGGCCACATTCATATTAATGATGACTTTATTCATGGACATGTCCAAAGAATACAATGGAGCATGGAGAGCCATATATAGCCCCCTCTGCCCCTTTGAATTCAGGTCCGAGCAGAGGTCCGAGATGTCTGATGCAGCTAGGTAAAGTCACAACACTTATTTCACTCTTCAGCAAAACTGTTTCAAAACTAAGGTTTGCCAAACCTGAGAGTCTTCATTTGCTCTTGACAGAAAAGAAGTCTTCTGTATCAGCCACATTACTGTGTCTTTATGTACTGATCATAATCAAATGATCATTATTTTGAATATCATGCACAAACTGCATGTTAAATGCCTGAAATATCTGCTGTAGCTCTTCTTTTGGTATAATGTCATTCAAAGGTTACTCATTTCATACTCTAAATGCATTCAGGGAATAAAGATTTGGTTTTAGAATACCTGTTGTTAATTTAGCTTCTCAAGAATCATCAAAAGACGGAGTACATGTGTACACTGAAGTAATGCATAACTTAAAACAATGAGGGAATATTTTTGTGCAACCCAAGATAATTATCATGAATAATAAAGCATTTGCTCCACAATAAATCAGCGTGGCAGTTAACTGAATGTGAAAGGAGTGCGAATCTGAAGAAGTTTGTCAGAGTGGCCTTAGTCTTGGTTTCAAGACCTCCACATTCCTCTTGTGCAGCGATTCGTCGGGTGGCGGTTCGTGTCATGGAAGGAACGACTGGAAGGTCTTGGAAATGATTTCGCAGACAAAAATCAAAGAATAGATGTCCAGTCAACTGACTACTTTAGCGCCGGCGGGTCCGGCCGGCGGGGGCGCCAGCTCGGACTGGCTGGCTGGCTGCCCGCGCTGGTTGCGTACGGCCGGCCGGCCCGCGGTTTTCGCGCCTGCGCAGTCCCTGCCGTCAGGCGCCATGTTGTGAAAAAAGATTGTCGGAATTCGGAAGAGGACATTGTGGTGCTGTCAGCATTGCGACAGAATAAAGCAGAGATTTTTGTGACCAGAACAGTGAGTTGCACCAGCGTGTCGTTCTTACAGCGTCGAACCCTGTGCAGCGGGACACGCTACACTACATATAGTGACTTTTAATCTCAGTGACTCGGGTGTCATCTGTGAATTTGAATTTGAAAGTACAGTTGTTGCAGTTTCAGGCCTATTGTGCTTGTCCCACACACTCAGTGAGTGTCTGTAGTGACCCACAGATGGGGCTGTTTCACAGCATTCATGTTGATTACAGCGTAGGAGGCATGCAGTACGCAGTAAGTCCTACGTACACACTCTGCCCAAGGCAGCAATAGCGACGGTATTTTGTGTCGTCGCCCAGTGAGCGTTGGAGCTTCCCTTTTGATTTGATGCTCAGCTGTAATTTTTCATGCTTTAAGATTGTTCGAAGCTTTAAATTGGAAGCCTGTAAGGGCCATTTATTTATTAAATTTGAGTTATCTCGCTGCGGCGTCAAATTGATATCCCGCCACAGCGAATATTTCAATAGTTTCATCCACCAGAAACTGCCCGACCACTTGAAGCGCGGATATTATTGCTGCATGTCAGTGCGTCTAGTTCATCCTTGTTTCTTTTCAGTTTCTGGTCCGTAGAGTTTCAGGATTTTTTTGGTTTTGCCGACCACTCTCCACTCTTCAATATTGTCTCCCTTTTCCAGTCCTGATCAGAAATCCCCGTCGCGGGAACACACAATGATAATAGGTGAAGCGCATTTGGTGTAGCGAAGCGCGGGCGAAAAGGTGAGTCCTGCGCTTTGTCAGTGAAATAAATCATTCATCGATGATTAATAACTCGTCACTGTGGAGGCTGAAAGTCGGCAAGTAATAATCTTTTCCCTTTGTGGCTAGGCTGTCATGCAGTAACTGCATT